TTGTAGGGTTCAGGGGATCTCGTAGTCGAGCAGTCTCGACTAGAGCTTTCTTACTTGTTGTGATTCTAGTTTGCTTTGCTTGGATAGAATCGTGTGCAGCTCGTGGTCTTTGGTTAGTTTATGAATTCCACATAGTAAGGTCTAGTATATTATATTATAAGGCTTTTCGTTATTTTGCATAATTTTGTGCCACGGTAAGCCCTGGGCTAAGGCAGCCTTAGAAACTTCAATCAAGCGCAAAGCCTTTTTATTTTTGATAATAGCCAAATTAAATGAATGCAAACTGTTGTGAATTTAGCGCTGCACAAAGGATGCCTCGAATTTATGTGCGCTGCTCTCGAGGGTGCCATTGTCATTGCCAAGTGGTGACAGCTGCTCGGCTCAGCGGCTCATCGGTTGTTCTGCCTGTTGTCCTGGTTGCTGGTGCTGCGTGGCGCTCCTCCTTTGTGGTCCTTTGTAGCGCGCGCCAGCTACGCTGTGGCGTTTTTATTACAAAGACTCGTGAATTTTATTTCGCACGAATATACATAGAAGCTACGGGCGACTGTTGCCAATTTGATGAGCATTTCAGCCTCGATATTTGTATTGGCCTCGGCTGCAGCATGAAGCCAAATGCCGTGTCAGGCAGCCAGGAAGCAATCCAGGACGCGTCCAAACTATGCGCCCAAGATTACGAAAATTGTTTACACAATGCGCCAGCGTGGCATGCGTTGCCCGCCACAACTCTAATTAAAAAAGTTTCACGTTTAACCGCTTGAGTTGGCAGCCCACACACACACACGCACACACGTACCACACATGGCCACTTGCATGTGAATAGCGTGCGAGTGTGTATTAGTGCGTGGCTAGACAATCAAAACTTTTGTTCAAGCAGCCTCACAGGTTCAAAGCTAACCCAGGCGCACAGCGAAAAACCACACAGCCGCCCTCAGACTCCACCACTTGGCTCTTGGCTCCTGGCTCCTGGCGCATCGCGGCCTCCCTGACGACTATAAAATTAATGAAGCGCCTCAGCTTTGAGCATTCAGCTGGCGGCCATTGCCATAACAGAGACATTAAAGTCGTCTTTGTCTTTGCCGTCCGTCGCGCTTGACATTGTTGCTGTAGCCGCTTCGTCGTTCTAGTCTCGTGTCAGCTTCCCATTGCTTGATGCGTATTTAAATATGCGCATAAAAGCAACGGACAGTGCTCCGGATTTATGTCCTGCGGCCGATGGAGCTCCCTTTGCTGGAGCGTTGCGCCCGTTTTGTGGCTAATCTCTGATGTGCACTTAATTATGTGGCACGCCTGCTGATTGCCGGCGATCTATGGCAACCCCTTCTATACCCTGTACCCAGCGGGCGTACACCTCTCGAGTGACACCATGTAATTATTAATAAATGAGTGCTCAGCCTGCCTGGCTGCGTCAATGGTACAGGGTATTAGTAAGCTGTCAGCTTACTAAATATATATATTTTTAATGCCTGCATACCCTTTGACCCTTTGTGCGCGCCAAATGCCATGCGAATTTCATATAGTGAATCCTGTTAGTAAGCCAAGCAAAAGTATGATAAATTTTTCACATTTTCATTGGCCTCTTCGTGCAAACGAAATTGCCAAAAAGAAAAACAAAATGAAAAGAAAACGGTAAAGTAAAGTAGAAAAAATGCATGAGAGGGTAGGCGAGGTGCGTGAGGGGAGGCAACAAGCACTGCATGCACTGCATGCAAAGTTTTCACTGTAAATTCAGTGAAAGTTCGCAGCAGCAGCAGCAGCAGGAGTAGGGGCAGCAGCAGGAGTAGGGGCAGCAGCAGGAGTAGGAGTAGGGTCAGGAGTGGAGGCAGCAAAAAAGTGCGCACGAAATCGAGCAGCTGGCAAAAAGAAACGAGCAAATTCCTTTCACAAGTTGCGCTGCATTCCAGTTATTTTACACTACACTGACTGCCATAAAGCAATCAATTTGAGCGTCGGGCGCGTTTTCTCTGGCGTCAATCTGCGGGATTTGATGCTGGCCAACACCTTCCGACGAGGGCCACTCGAATTGCATACGTGAGAAACCAGGGATGTCCACGCGACATATTTTCCAATTGCTTTCAGTCAGTCAGTCAGTCAGTCAGTCAAATAATCAGGCAACACTTGAATTTGTTTGCAGCACTCGATAGGCATCTGCAATTAGTTAATTTGTTACAATTGCTCCATTGAATTGAATATGCAGCGCGTCGACCCACCCCAAGGGCCAACAACAGTTTAATATAGATTTCTGCTGGCTTTGTGGGCCACTTGGGCACTTGATTGAATGAATGAAGTAATATTCACTTGTCATGCGATGGAATGATTACGTTGACGGCAATCAGAGCGACGGAACGCGAACAGCGCATTTCCTAGTATCAACTGCTCGCTGGCCACAGGCAAAGGACACATGCCAATATTGAATTAAAGCAACGGCCGACTCCTGAACGACTTCTCGAATGCAAAACTCATCTGTGCTCGCATACGCCCGGTGGTAGTATAAATTACACTCTCTCCCAGGAGCACGCAACAGCCAAACAGTCGTTTATCAGAGCAAGAGGCGAACATAATTTACAGTAAAATAATAAATTTCGCTTTAAAGTTTAAACATTAAAGCACTTTCTAGGTTTCTAGATTGGAAATAAATTTGTAGATGAATCAATAAAATTTACTCTGAATTGTGATTTTTATTTTACTTTATTTTTGTACTCTTTAACAGAGTCTTTGGCAGTGAAGAGTGAAAAGTTCTCGTTCGTAAAAAAATCGAAAGTATTTTTCATTATCTCTTGTTTTCTTTTTAGTGAAAACTAAGAGAAGATCTGGGTAGAAGCACCAAAGAAATATATTTTTAATTTATTGTATTTTTTCAGCAAATTCCTTGCTGAGCAAATTGCAGCATTTGCTGTTTACTCAACCGAAGATCTCCATTTAAGGAGTTAAGATTGGTGAGCTGAAATTAAGCTATTGCAAAGCGTTGCAAGTCCAATGATGTCCAAGTTTGGGGTCGTGTGCTGTTTGTTTAAAAAGTTGCCACAAAACTTTGGCAAGGGGTTTGGATGGCCGGGGAGGGGGGCTGGGTGGCGCCCATCTTGCAAGTGCTCCGTAAACTTTTAATTATCACACACTTGCGACGTTCAATTTGTTCGCGATGTAGCTAGATTGAAAAGTTTGCAAAGTTCAATTATGTAGGACTTCTAAATTGTATTGTCCTAATTTGCTGCGTTTGCTTGCTTCTAATTTGTGTTATCGAAGCAGGCTCCGGGTTTATGTATTCTTATCATTTGTGACTGATACTATTTACATTAGTTTTAAAATACTCTCAAAGCAAACAATACAAAATTCTTTGTAATCATGACCGACTTTCGCCCCAAATTCGGGTCCATTCGAAAGGATAGGATCGAGGATCCCGAGGACCGACGATACTTTGTCTATCAGGTTTTTATTCAATTCATCGTCTACACTGTACTGGCCTTTCTCCAATGGCTTTGCATACTTGCAATAACAAGGTAGTATTTCCGCTCTACCCCCCCACAAATGATTACAACTGCAGCAATCTCTATTCCGTCAACAGGCATTTAAACGACGAAGTGATCTTGAGCAACGAGTCGGCCATGATAGTGCTGTTCTTCATGGGCCTGCTCTTCTTCCTGGTCTTCGCAGTCAGCCCACAGCTACGGCACCGGGTCTTCGCAAATTGGCTGGTTACTTTCGTAATAGTCGAGGCGCAGGTCTTGGCTGTCAGTCTGTTGGCTGTACGAAGCGAGTACCTTCTAATGCTGATTGGCTTTGTTGTCGTCCTCGTAGTCATGGCTGTGGTCTTCATAGTGGTAATATTTCTGCCGGTAAGTCGAAGGAGAGCCAACACAGTATGCTGACTGCATTTGACTCTAATGTCGCTCACTCCCGCAGTTTGACCTCACGAATTATGGAACCCTATTGTTTTTGTATAGCCTCTGTGTGTTTGTATTCTGCGTGTATTGCATCATGTTTACCGTTGTCCTCGTCGTCCGCTGGCCGTTTTACTTGTTCATCCTCGGCCAACTTTGCTTGGTGATACCCGTAAGTCATTGTTGCATTTGCCTTGTGATGACCACAACAATCGACCCATTTTTCCACTTGCCCATTTTCCCCAACACACTACCATGCCACACCCACTCACCATGCACTTGCCACTTGCAGATTATCGCATATCATGAGCAAGCAATACTGGGCAAGGGCGAGGTGAGGTCCAGCCTCCATGATGACAAGTTCTGTGCGCTGCTATTGTTCCACGATTTTCTAGCTCTGTTTTTGCCAACCTTTTACTGGTACTACTGGTAACCCGCCCGCTGCTACAATCAATAAAAGCCATGATTTACATATGCTCGCGCTCTGAGCAAACAATGAGGCGTCTCTATTCAAGCTCTTTCACTCTCAGACATTCAGTCATGCGGTTGTGGGACAATGGCGGCAGCGTGCCCATCATACAGCCAGTGGGTCCCAGTTGGTGCAGCATTATGTGATCTCGACACCGGATCACGACATCGCCGTCGCAATCCCTGGCATAAGAACCAATGAAGCTTAGCACAGTTTCCGTGGCACAGTCTGGATTTGATACACAAATCTCATAATCTGGAATGGTGTTCAGTTGGGTTAGTCGAAAGTCAAGCAAAGCAAGCATTGCAGCTGTTCCTTCAATGAGTTCGCTTTACCCTCTGGACCACTGTACGTCGCCTCCCGCGTCGCATCCTGCCAATACGGCCTGGAGATCCGGTAGATACTGCATGGAGTTGAGTGGCACATCGCCGGCCTCTTTGCTGTGGCCGTCATCGCGATGCACTCCAGACAGTCGGCGCTAAGCAGCGTCGTGCCCAACGCAGCTGAAATCCGTGAGCAAATAAAGACGAATGAGATGCTATACAATTAATTATCCATAGTGGTTCAATCTTTCGGCCTCAAATTTTAGTGAACTAGCTTCCGGGGCACCGCCATAGTTTTCTATGCCCAGTGCCGACGAAGTCAAGAATTTTCATGTGTTTTTACCATTCGATTCAATTAATATACGATGTCCTATACTGCTTGGTTAACATCAATTAGTTTCACTCGTGATTGTTAGATGTGGCTGGAGCCAAGGGAGCCTTGAACCTTGACATATTGTAGCGATTGCAGCTATTTCGCCAATGATTCCCAATTAGCAGTGCGGCTCAACTTACCCGCGGCTGGCACAGTGACCACTTCAAAGGGCAGCTCCACCTCGCCGTCGCCGTCGCCGTCGTCGTTCCCAGCTGCCGCCAGCTGAATATTTAGGCGACCAAGGCGATGTTTTTGCATTACATGCATATAGATGGCTCCCACGACCAGCAGCAGAGCTACGACAATGCCAGCTGTGCTCACCAGCTTTCCAATACGGCATTTGCCGTGCTTTTCTCGAATGACTCGTTGTTGTTGCTGCTGCTGCTGCTGCTGCTGTTGTTGTTGGCCTCTGTCGCCATGGGTAGCGGCGACATTCGCTCGAGTCGTTGACATTGTATACTTTGCCAGGGAACTTAATAAATTGGCGTTCTAATTCTCGGCTTGTCAATGCGCAACTGAGGCCCTTTCGGTGCTGCAGGTACTCGCCTGATACTGCTCATTGATAACCCCAGCAAATATACTCGAATAGTCGCTCTCATCGATTATCTCGCTCACTGTTTGGCCTGTAATTGATGCTAGCTGTTTGTTTGCGGTTTCAGAGCTAGTGAGCAAGCGAGCGAGCATTCGCTCTTTCCCGTGGCTTATCTGTGTAGCTTAAAACCGCACAACATGCTCATATTCATTTTGACTAGCATTGGGATGCTCACGAGCTAGCCGGCCCGCCTCCTCTCCCAGGCAGCCGCTCAATTGGCGTTGCTATTCGCCACGCTCCGCACATAAAACGCAGATGTACGCGCCAGATTAGGTGTCGATTGCATTTGCTAGTTCGACTTGGCACATGACAACTTGCTCTGGCTCTGGCTCTAGCTCTGGCTCTGGATCTGGATCACAGTTTCGGTTCTGGTTGGGCGTGACACCTTGCGCATTTATATGCACGTATTGTAAGCATACATATATGAAAAATTGCTGAGCACATTGCAAGCTGGCAGCCATGTGGCACAACCAGAGGCGTCGCCAGCAATGTTTGACTGGGACACAAACACACACACACACACACACACACACACACACACACACACACACACACTCACTCACACACATACACAGTTTAAGTGCTAGTGGGAACTTTGAATAATTTGTGTGCACTCGGAACACATCAATCGTTATTTGGAGACCTAACTTGTCTAATGCCGGCTAAGTAATTGTCCGCATTTGGCTCTGGTCTCATGCATTATTTGAAACTCATCAGGGATAAAGCGCAAAAGCTGTTGAGCTCGTAGCGCTCTGTTAATTTATAAACTGTAAACTACAGCTAAAAGTATGCAACAATACAGTTAGTTAGTGACTTGTCTGTAAAACAAATACTCATAGTAGAGGCAAATCCAAGCCATATTTAGCCCAGCTGAACTTGAATTCCAAATCGTTTCAGTAGCATTGGAGCTGAACTAAAGATAGTTAGGCTACAGTTTTATGTAAAGCCAGTCTTTATATATGGAGCTCGGCTCTAATTTACGCTGTCAATGCCTTGAAATGAATTACAGCATAGTGTGCCCTGCTCTTAGCAGCTTTTAGCCAGGTGCAAAGCTTGAAGTGCGCCGTCATTTACTTGATTGTTTTTTTTTTTTTTTTCATACCCTGCAGGTAGAGCTGATGGATTTGATGTTTCATGGTGCACGTAAAGAGGAAACTAATTAGATTGCATGTAAGCGTAAATCAGCAGTATGTGGATTGACAGTAAGGGAATAGCAAATGTGATTGTAGAGCAACAGTTGAGCAGAACTAATTAATTATTCAATACACTAGCCGACTCGCAAAGGTTGAGATGTGAAATGAAATGAAATATAAATAATTCAGTTGTTTTTGTAGACAAAAATCTCGTGCCACATTAAATTATATTAATTTCAATGGCCTGCGAGCGTTTCTTTTGAATTCATCTTCCCGAGTCAGCCACCCATTCCGAGTGCGTGGTATTTGACAGTTGTAAAAATGTTTAAGTTGTTTGTCTTTTCTCGCACATTGCTGAATTCGTTGGCTTTGTGTGTGTGTATGTGTGTGTGTGTGCGTTGCTTTCAAATGTCTCCATTGTCTTCAGGCGTTTACTTGTGCTCCTCTCGGCCCTTAGTAATTTGCGTATTTTCTTACCAAATTCACATGAGAATGGCTGCGAGCAGGGGCCGTGGCAAGCCGAATTCAATTATGATATCGTTTCAAGTAGTTCTTTAAATGGCATTTTCTGCACCCAAGAGCCACAGCGAAATGCCAGCTTCATGGAAGCAGGCAACAATAGAGTGGGTTCGGGCAAGGTCGTTGGGCGTTGCTGTATGAACGAGTTACTGAGCGCACGCCCACTCGCACCCACACACACACACACACACACATACACATACTTATGTACTCATTATGTGGCGAGTTCTTGTTCTTGCATATTTTCCAACCGAATTCCTTTGAAAAGTGGCGCTGGTATTAAAAAAAGAAAACAGAAACAGAGAGGAGGAGCAAAAAAAAATGTGAACAGAAGCTGGGCACTCGCTCTAATGGGCGAAATTTGAGCCAAGGCACTTGCTGCACTCGATTACGGTCGGTACTTTCCGGTTTGATACCGTCCATTGCCTTGTTGTTCCGCCTGCATTCGAATCAACGCCAGCGTCGCTGCTGCTGTGGCTGCTGCTGCTGCTGCTGGAGTATCCTGAACACGTAGCGAGCCAAAACAAAGTTAATTAGATTTGTTGCAAGATGGTCATTATTGAAGCCAAATGGTGCTTGGCTGAGGGCCACGCCAAGCCCTTTTAATGGCCAGAGCCAGTGCAGTCAATTTGAAATTTGTATGCGCCATTTTTATGTGGTTTACTCGAGTGGAATAGCCCGCCGTGTCTATGCAATTACCCAATTGGGTGGCAGCTTTGGCCAGTGCTACCCGTAGGGCAGCTCAAATGGAGGGCATCCATCCTCTGTCATTCTTTATGCAATTCGCGTAGCGCATTTCATTTTTAAGTGTTTGCGTGTTAAATGTATGCATTACTCTTTGCAGCTAAACAAGGATAAACCAAGCGCTGTTCTGTTACCTTTTTTTTGCTAGCAGATTGAGCAATCGGAAGCACAGCTTTATATGTAAATGTGCATCACGACAAAGTTGGCTGATTGAAAATGCAAATCGCATACAGCGAGTGATTGCAGGCAACAAAACGTTAATAAAGTGAGCGCAGGTAGCCCTTTGCCCGTTGCACGCGGCGTATGCGTAATAAGCGAACGGCGTATGCAGCAGCGAGGCCACGCCGTTGTCCATTAAAGCGGCGGAAATGACACAGACGAAATGTATCGCTGCAAAAATTGGTTCTGTGCGCGCAGCAACAACAACAACTACGTCGACGTCGCACTAAACGAGCCGGGACAGAGCTCAACGCCAACGACACTACCACCACAGCCACAGGCACAGGCCCAGGCACAGGCACAGCCAGCCAAAAGCTGCAGCAACAGTAATAGCATCAATAGGGCACGCAATAAATCCAATAGCAATCAACAGCCAAACGCAGCCGGTGCGAACCACAGATCCACGCCCACCGATGATCCACCGCAGTCTGCCGGAGCAGCCGGAGCAGCCCATGTGGTCACGTTCCTGGAGGATGCACCGGGCAGCAGCAGCAACGGCGGCGTAACCAGCAGCCGCATTGTGACCACCGCTGAGCTCCATCAGGCACACATGCTGGAGCACCACTCCAATCTGGATGCCATTGAGCAGGCCGACGACTTCATCTACGGCCCGGGCGCTGGACTCTCGCTGTGCGACGACAGCCTGCCCTCTGCCAAGAACTGCTATAGACTTGTCATGCTTGGGTGGGTATTCGGACAATCAAAGCCGGCCGACTCGGCCGAATCGGTGTCTGTACTGAAAGGGCTGTCCACTTTGCAGGTCGTCACGCGCTGGCAAGTCCTCGATTGTGGCACGTTTTCTGGGCAATCGCTTTGAGGAGGCCTATACGCCGACTATTGAGGAGTTTCATCGTAAATTGTATCGCATACGAAATGAGGTCTTTCAGTTGGATATTTTGGATACTTCAGGCCATCATCCGTTTCCCGCAATGCGTCGTTTGTCATTTCTAACGGGTGAGTCAAATGTCTGTTCTTAATGTATGAGTCTCTCAATAAACGAGAGTGTGTATATCACTATCTCAGTATATGTGAATGCGTGTGTGTGTGTGTGAGTGTGAGAGTGTTAGCCGCAATCATATCAAACGCACGTTTCATCACTTAAGCTGCCGAGTTCCCGGCGCTATTTAATGTGCTATAAATTATCATAAGAATCAGGCACAGCTGGAGCTCAGCTGCCGAAGTCAGTTATTTGTTCCTTCCCATGCACACACAGATTACTATACTCCCCATGTGTGTGTGTTTGCGCGCACGATATGGGATCCAATATAAAAGCAATAAATTTGCATCAACTAAATCAAATACTGTTAAATATTTCATTCGATTGCAGGCGATCTATTTATATTGGTATTTAGCATGGATTCGCGCGAGTCCTTTGAGGAGGTGGTGCGCCTGCGAGAGAACATACTCGAGACCAAGTGGGCGGCTCTGAATCCAGGCTCGGGCTTCAAGAAGAAGAGCCTCCCCAAAATACCCATGATACTGGCTGGCAACAAATGCGATCGTGAATTCAAGTAGGTTGATAATCAATTATTCAATATTTCATTTGAACAATTCATCATTCGATTTCATTATTTATCTAGAACCGTGCAGCTGGACGAGGTAATGGGCTATATAGCTGGCCAGGACAACTGCTGCACTTTCGTGGAGTGCTCGGCACGGCAGAACTATCGCATCGATGATCTGTTCCATGCCCTATTTACGGTTTCCAATCTGCCCCTGGAGATGACGCCCAACCAGCACAGACGCCTCGTGTCCGTGTTTGGCGCGCCCTCGCCACTGCCTCCGCATGGCTCGGCCGTGGGCGGCACAAAGAAGAATGCTCTATCCATCAAGCGGCGTTTCAGTGATGCCTGCGGCGTAGTCACGCCCAATGCACGGAGGCCCAGCATACGCACCGACCTCAATCTGATGCGCTCCAAGACGATGGCTCTCAACGAGGGCGGCGAGGGTGGCGTGCGCAACACATCCCGCTGGAACCGCTGCGCCCTCATGTGACTCCTGACGTCCATGTGATAGTAGTGAGAAAAGGGTCAGCCTGTGGTGGTCAGGGGAGGCCCCAGACAGTGAGCCTAACTGACAGATAGATAGAGAGATCTTAATTTTAAACGCAGCGTTTGGGTGATTTCGTTATGTAATGTAAATACTTGAGCACACACACATACACACGAGCTGGGAGCACACTCGCATGTGGGTGTGTGGCCGAGGCAAGCAAATGATATATAAATGAATTATATATACGAGCTTTGCATTTTTCGCATTGTTATTATAATATTAGCAAGCCAAACAAGTCAAATATAGAGTATATATAGATATATATATATTACGCATATTTAAACACGATTTCCAACCCTTCCTCCGCACCTCGCATTTCAACAAAGCAAACAGACCAAATACTCTATTTCTATTGCAACAAATATTTACATTTTTGTATTTCTTTGTATTCGTATCAGCACATATTTTGAATTGATGCACTCACACACACACACACACACACACACACAAATGCAGGCGACAATAATGATAGGACATACATGGAATTGGTAATTGTTATGCGATTCGGTTTAAGATTTAATAACCAAAGTTGAATTTGAATGAATTGGGATGAGCTGAGAGTTAGCTTATTTAATTGTTATTGTTGATTGTTGTTGATATTAAGCCAAAGGTTTTTTTTCCCTCACTTTACGGAACTCCCATGCACCAATGCCACACATCTATGCCCAATACAAGACCTAAAGGGTCCAATTAAACACTATTGTAAAACGTGTACACCGAGCAACCAGACCAGACTAGACCAGACCTAAAACAAGAGAATACTACTTAAAGCTACTATGCTCTATGCCAATACATAATCATATACAATGACTACATATGAGTATATATTATACTAAGCCACATACATACATATACATATACAAATACATATACATATACATATACATATACACGTATAGCGTTAAACCGAATTTATGCGTATTAAATTCGAGTTTCAATCTAACCTAAGCAACAGCAACAATTTAAAATTTAACTAAAAAGTATTATGAGTAAAGGAATTAACAATTTCCATATATGAAACAATGACCAAATTAATTAACATTATATTATATACACAAGAATACTTATATACTAATACTTATATACATACAAATATACCTAATAACTAACTATATACCAATTGATATCTAAACTGATCAAAACGCGTTAACTCGTACACCCATAAAATTTATTTAAAGTTTGGAAGCGAATATTGCATTATTCTATGAAGTGCATATATTTACAATTCTCATGGAATGCAGCATTAGATATGATTGAGGGTTTTTGCATACGTATACATACATATATATACATACACATACACATATGTATGTGCCAATGGCAAAAATAGCAATTATGGTCAATAGCTCGTTATTTGAAGCGTATGTTAAGTATAAAGTTTACATTTTAATGCTTTGGATTTGCATTGTTTATTACGATTAAATAAAATTCATAAAATTACAAAAAGCTGAAGTTTTATTGACTCCCGTTTTAGTTAACAAATGCATAAAGTAAACTTTGAAGTGCAAAACGGAGACAGAGCTTTAAAGCTTCGCAGGAAAAGGGAATGCACAGCTTTATGCTCGTCAAGTATAACAGCTTTGCTAAAGCTTTGCTGGGATGTTGTTTCGGCTAAAGAGAACAAGCTTGCCTGAAAGCTTTGTCAAGCTTCACAACGTTGTAAGCCAAGTGCAAAGCTGCATAAAGGCTTTAAAGCTTAAGGAACGAGTCGGAAGTCCTCTGGAGTAACTTGCTATTAAGTGTCGAGGAGCAACTGTTGTTTAGAGCTAATTTATTTGATCGGCTTACATATAAATTGATTGGATATACCATGCACACATTTTAATCGCTGCCTAAGCTGTAATAATCCGCCGCAAATAACAAAGCACTTTGTGTGTTGGCCAGCAGCGACAAACTGGCCGGCAACTAATTGACGTGTCCAGGCAGCTGGCAAATCGTCGACTTGTTTGAGCCATAGGCAACAGTAGCAGCAGGAGCAGCAGCGGCAATAGCCAAAGGGTTAGCACGTGCTGTGCGAGAACAACAACAACAACAACACATTTACGCCCAATTGAACAATGGCTGCCATTGTTGGGGCAGCCCTGCAGACCCCTCTGGGCGGAAGGGGGCCGAGCGCTGGGCGAACGCTTAAAAGTGCCGTCAATTTTAATTGTTTGTCTGATCGCAGACGGGGGGCTATTAATAGGCTTACGGTTTATATGAAATACTAAGCTGAGGCCGCGTGGCTTTGGGCATTGGCGGTGATGGTGGTGATGGTGGTGGTGCTGCTGTTGGCTTTCAATCGGTGTTGACCCCCTTCTGCTATTGTCGACACTCGATAATCAATGCGGTTGACGCTGCGCGAGCTGCAATTTGCATGTGCAACGTTATCGCTGCGGCAGGTTGCTCCGTCGCAGCTGCAACAGTTGCTGCCGTATGGAGAGCATATGGACAGTATATAGTTGTACATTAGGCATAAACCAATTAGGGCTGCCTCAAAATGGATTTGATAGCAAAAGCCAAATCATAATTTAAATTATGCAGCTGTTGCTGAATATTCGGTGGCTCGGCTTCAACCAATTTCAGTTAATGACTGACAGTTAAAAGCTTTTCACTTTGACGCGATACACGTGTGCCTGTGTGTATGTGTGTGTGTGCACAGTGGTTAAAAGGCATTATTATTAATTGAAAATTGATTTTTATACGAGAATTCTCTAATGGGACTTTGCATCTTCATCTTAATCCTCGCAGCTTTATCGATTTCCTCAGTCCGTTTTAAAAATCGCATTGCTGCTTAGTTAACCGGCGGGTAAATATTTGTGTTAGTATGTAGCTACCAAATGCTGAAACTTATTCGCACGTTTCTGCTGGCAGACTTTACTTAGCCAGCTAGCTGCATGCTCCAGCTAACAGTGGCAACTATAACTATTCGCCTGCTCGGCTAAGTCAACGCCGGCCCACACAGAAAAACTTTCTGTGTAAACAGAAACAGAAACTGCGATGGCAGGCAACGGCAGCGGCGGCGGCGTCTTTAAGTCTGCAACACCTGTGCAGGTGACTCGCTTACAGTTGTCGCTGCTGTTTCTGATACTCCACTTCGAGTTGTTGCTGTTGTTGTTGTTGTTGTTGTTGTTGTCGCTATCGTCAGTGTATTTGCTTATTGTGTTTGTAAACATTGCTAACAACTTGAGTAATGCCGGCGACAACGCGCCTTCATCGTTGCACAGAGGCCCCCGCGCATTGCCGCAGCTGCTCTATTACTGCGACTCTTCTACAATTGCTAATAGAAGGCGAGCGAGAGAGTAAGCGAGAGGGAAAGAGTGGGCGAGTGAGAGTGTGTGCGCGTAGGTGTGTAGTGAGTGGCGCGGAAATACAATATATTTCGCTGAATGTGAACCTTCACTGCATTCCCCTTGACTTTTCCCCATTGCTGTTGGCAACTTGTAAGTGCTCAAGTTTTTCAATTAAAAGTTGCTACCTTTTTGTATTACTGCGGCAGCATAACATAAATACGCATGTGAGTCGCTGTTTATATGTGTTTCCGCACGTATGTGTGCGTGTGTGTGTGTGTGTGTGTGTGTGTGTGTGCGTAAAAGCCTGCAGCATTGGCTTTTCCGTTTAAATACCAATAAACTGAATGGCAAATAGTAGCTCAGCCCAGCCCGATGCCTACTCGATTGGATCAGCGGGTATCACATCGAAATGGACACGGCCCTTCAACAGGCAGAGCGACGACAAGAACATAAAAACGCGACCAACAAACAAACAATATTGTAATGCCGTTGGCAGGTGTTGAAGTCCAGGGCATTACAAATTCATACAGAAATACCAAAACGTCAAACAAATTGCAAGTTTTCAGTTGCATTTCCGCAAAACGTAGCTGAAATAATACGTTGCTGCTGTTGCTCTTGTTGTTGTTGCTGTTGTTGCAGTCACAAAAGTATGCAACAAAAGCCATGATATCGAATGCCCGCTGAAGCCCGACAAATTGGAGGTAGGCCAGCGTCTTCGCCTTTGCAAACGAACTATGCGCTCACTTTCTCTATGTGTGCGAGTGTGTGTGTGTGTGTGTGTGTGTGCGAGTGTGTGTCTGCTCGCATGACAAGTTGAAATGCTGACGGCTCACTGACACCGGGTAAAGGCGTATGTGTGTGTGTGTGAGTGCAAGAGGATAGCTACGTTTTTACCCTTTAAAATCAACTTCAAACAGGTTATTTGATAAACGACCGCAGCATTTGCCAAGAACTCGAGCTATGTGCGGAAATTCAATATGCATATTGCATATTCAGAATTGAAATTTCAACAAGAGACTTTTTAAGGCTTTTCAACTAGTAAATCCTATTAACTCTTCTAGGTACTCCCTACACTGAAATTACAATCTGTATGTTCTATGTGACTAGAAACAAAACCAAAATACCAACTGGGAAACAGATTAAACTTATCTGTGTATTTAAATAACAGCTCACACATCCAGATATATATTCTATAGCACTGCTGGGTATACGATAGTCAATATTTATGCTAAACTTTTTGCTCGGTTCGCCAGTGCCTGTTTGAATGATTTTGTGGCGCTGGCTGTTGAAAAATCATACAAAGTTATGCAAATTCTGATGTGGCTGTCGCCGTCGACTGTACCGCTCCCGCTGCAGTTGGCGTTGTTGCGGCCGCTTCTGTAGCCGCCGGTGCATCGGTTTCTGCGGTCTGGCATGCATAATTGTTGGTTTTCAGTTACACATCGGGCCGGGCCCGACCAGGCCGTGCCGGCACAAGTCGGTTATTAGAGCAGCACAGACGGTGCCGCAGAGGCATTTCAATATTCGACTGTGAGTGCATGCAGTTGCCGGCACTTGCAGACATTCCACACACACACATACATACACACATGTATCTCTCTATATATAATACCTGAGAATATGCAATGCATTTTAATCAAAACCAGAGTCTGTTGTTTACTCCAGTCACAATAGTCATTTCTCGGGCATTTGTTTAACTATTTACATTGGCTGTGCCTTGCTCGTCCTGCTAGCTGGGGGGCTATGGCTATCATCAAAAAACAATTCTGCGCATAGCGTCCGCAAAATAATGGACGTTAGGCCTCGCTTGATAAGCTAAATGATAAATTGTTTTTATTCGTGACATATGTATGCATGTGTGTGTGCATGTGTCTGCCTACACATACGAAACGTGCCCTGTTCAACCACACACACCCACACACCCACACACACATTCACACTGACAAGGAGCAACTTCTTTAGGATGCCAAATGCGTAAGTTCTGTGGTTTGCCGAGCACAGCAAGTCGTGTGCCTTGGCTTCGACTAATAAAAGGAAAACAAAAATGAAAACAACAAAGCTGAATAAAACGGGAAACAAGCAGAGAAACTTGTAAACGCGCTTGGGTACAAAAGTGGAATCTAATAAGCTCACGGCTAAACGTGTTATGATGAATGACATTGTCAGGCGCAGTCGGAATTTAAAACTTTCCGGCAGCCAGCAGCCAGCAGGCGGCAAGTTTTATAATTGAAAATTGAAAATGCAATCGACTACAAAAGATACAAAATGTTATTACAAGTTGCTGCTCGTTCGTGGCCTGGCACGGTTACTTACCTTGGCAGCGATTCCATTTAATCAGCACTCACCTCAGCAGCGGCTTTGTTTGGCTTAACAGTTCGGTTTGGCTTCTCTCTTGCTCAGGGCGCGCACATGACCTTTCGACTTCACAGCTAATCAACTAACCAAAAATTTTCGTATTCATTCATTAAATTAAAATTTCATTCAGCTCATCTGATTTGATTGCTCTGCGCCTAAGTGGCTGGCGCTCGCAGGCGCAACCACAATTTGAATCCCAATTCCAGTCCCAGCCCCAATTCCGGCCCCAATCGCAATCGTAATCGCAATTGTTGGCTTTTCTCTGGCCTGTCTGTCGGCTTGTTTATTTGTTTGTCGGCTCTGTCCTCGGTCGATTGTCAGCCCGCTCTGCTTACCTTACAAACGTTTTGTATCTCTATCCATTGCTGCGTGCGTGTATCTCTATCTGAATCTGTATCGGAATCTGTATCTATATCTGTATCTGTATCTGTATCTATGTCCGTGGCAACCGCATCAGCGCTGAAACTATGTTGCCTGCCATTGAAATTCATAAAGCATCAATGCTCCCCGAATGGCTGCTAAGGGGAGCAGCTATCGAGTGGGGGCTCTGCTATTTTATGGCGCACACTGTTTGAAATCATTTGCTTTAATTCAAGTGAAAAATTATTTAAATTGCTAATCAAACGTGCGATGAACATTTACAGATGGAGAACAACAAAATTTACTTGTTCCATTTTTCTATTTCTTTTTTACTGCACGTCTAGCTCGGAATTTAAAATGGAAATGAAAATTGATTTCAACTTAAGTAAAGATATATTATTGATCAAAGAAATAACTTGTCAATCTCTTGCATCCGGTGGACTAAAAGTCGAACAGAGAAAGTAATATCTGGGTTCAGAATGATGAGCTGTTGAGCGAATGGATGTCCATTTGGAGCATTCCCTTAGCATAGAGTCCACCCAAGAATAAATAACCCGCCTCTGTTTATAGATTATTTATCATACTCATAAATGTATTTTTTATTCATTTTATATGCACTCTCAAATTGCATAGAAGTATTAGGCTTACGACTAGAGGGATTTAAGTATTCATTTTGATTTCACTAAAAGTATTTATTCGTCCCATGCGCACACACACATGCAGCCTGCATGCGTGCATGCATGTGGACATGTATGTGTGTGTGATACTTAGCATGTAGTATGTATGTATATAATTGCTGGGGATTGACTTGAACCCAATTAGCATAACTCCTGCTGCTGCTCTTTAATTGGTAATTGTTAAAAATGATAAGCTTTTCAGTTATACAATTACATTATTAATTTATTACATTACAGATCTGTAGCTGGAAATGCATAATTAAATGCAAATTAAATTATATAACTAACTAGACTGGGACAAGTAATTTGGTGCATTACTCGTTAGTGTTCGTACTAGAATTACAATAAGTTACATTACATACATACATATGCATATACATATACATATACGTATGCATATGCATGTGCATTTATTTATTACATTTAAATTATTGCATTCGCTGCTATAATTCAGTTATTCTATTGCATTCTCATATAAAAATGGGCTTTACGCTTGTGTCATTTCCTCTTCTTCCTCTTCTTCTCTATATAATAACGAGTATTTCAATGTAGAAAATTCTGACTACATTATTAGTAAGTGGAATAGAAAAGTGGATTGGCATAGAACATAATGCACAGTGGAGCTGATTTAGTTAAAAACGTGGGTTTCGGGGCTTAAATAGGTTTGCTCTGACTTTCTTGATTTCATTGATTCTTTTGTTTGCTTAAGATTTACACATTTAGAAGTCTTTGACAAAATACATTTATACACGTATACAGCCATGTGGAAATGTATTTGCGCATGGATTCGCCTCCAGCTGCGGGATGCAGGAGACTAATTTGGCCAGTTCGTAAGTGCTGCTGTTGGTCTTTATATTCGGTAGTGCTTCAGTTGTTAAAGCTGTGGGGCACCAGCTCTCGAATGGTAGATCCTGGATCTGGAACTAGGACTAACCTTAATGGCAGCTGTGGCAGCAACAGCAAATATGATTCGCCCTCGCTGTGACTTAATTACGAATTATTATTATTATTTTTTTTTTTTTTTTGCTTAGTTTTTAATTTTCACTATGTATTAGGCTACCATTACGAATATTATATAACTCGCTTGTACAAAAATCCAACTCGTCTGCTCAAATTATAAGATATGACAAATTATTGTATATATATTTATGTATATATATATATATATGCCTAGTTACTCGTAATTAAGTATTTAATTATTTAGGTTTATGTTCATATTTTACTATGCAATCATTAATCCATCGCTTACTTGAGTATTTTTTGGTTTAGTTTGGAATTCGCTGATTATATGTACTTATGCATGGCCATGATATACGTTTACATTTAATGTGTGTATTCTGTGAGTGTCTGCGTGTGTGTCTCTGTGTGTTGTATTGTATTGCAGTTACAGTTACCGTTACCGTTTACCACCCACTGCCCGACTCCTGCGGCTCTTACACTTGTAAATTATCTAAATGCTCGGCGTACTCCTCGGCCGTTGTGAACTCCAGCTCTAGCTCGTCGGGACTGTTGCTGTGACTGCTGTGACTGTGACTGTGACTGCGACTGTGACTGCGACTGTAATGAGCAAAGTTCGGGTGCGTGGCGAGCACCATAAAAAAAGTTAATGCCAAATCAATACAACACGTGTAAGCATTTCATTTCATTTCATTTCAGCTCATTTCATTGTTGTTCTCCCCCCCAACACCCACCCCCCGCTCACCTGCTACTGAGGTCGCGTTTTTTCCGCCGATCCTGCGACAGGGCCTCCACGCACAGCACAATCAGCTTGCCGTCGCAGGGCTGGCGCTCCTGATCGAGTAGCTTGTTGCCCAGCAGGTTGCTGGCATAGCCGAACTTCTCGTGCGAGCTGGAGTGCCAGGCATCGCAATAGGTGTCCATGGAGCGCTCTCCGTTCGGCAGTGAGCCGTGCCAGACCAGCTTGAGCGGCCTGCAGCGAAAAGGAGTCCCTGTACATATGCACATTCGCGCACAAGATGGCGGAACTTACCACAAGGGGTCGGTGAGCACATTCTTGCCGCTGAAGCTGTAGATTCTCGGTGCCTGGGAGAAGAAGCCGCCCTGGCCGTTAAAGACACCTTTCCACGAATTGAAAAGCACATCGCCGCGGGTGTTTACGACTGGCAGCTCCCAGTCGGCCGGACGCACTATAGAGTCCAGATTCTGCACCCTGTGAGCGACAACAAAAAGAGGGAAAATAAATGTAGCACGCGGATTAAGAGCACGAACAGGGTACCGCTGCAGCACAGCCAAAGCAGGTGAGCAAACTACCTACGAACTGTCCAAGAGGCAGCGGGCGGCTCTTGAGCATGGCTGCGCTGGCGAATGCATATAGCAGTATATAGTATATAAGTATATATTTCTTTATTTATTTATTTATGCTTTACTCTGGCAGCCTGAGCATTTATTTTGGCATCCATTCAGCGCTTTGTGTGCTCGGCGCTGTGTAAATAAATTGCACGAGATTGTTTTTAGCGGCTTTTGTTTTCATATTTCCTGTGCGCTTTTCTTGCTTTGCCTCAAATATCAAGATTATATTCCAGTTAATGAGTTCCAAAGGCGCCACCGGGCGGTGGCCAGCGCTGCGTATGAGCAATGCCATCTCGAAATCCTCGAGTGCCGAGCTTAAAGTGCGCACAGTGCCAAACTAAACATAAAAAACATGCCTAATACGCGTAAAAAGAATCTAAGGACAGATAAGACACACCCGGTCCCCGTACGCCCGCAGCCGCACGCATAGTGCTGCCTCATGCTTACCTGGAGGTGAGGAACGCCTTGAATGTGCCCAGCAGTCCCGCTCGCCGGCCTTGGCGATAGCAGGCAAAGTCCGCGCCTCGAATGCCCTGCAAGTCGCCGGCGTAGGGCTCATTGAGGGCTGCCACGCGAAGCTATTGTCCGGATTGGGTGGAGGGGAGCGCAGAAAATATGGCAGAAAATTAATTTGGAGTTTATGTCAAGCATTTTGAAATCTAATTAATATAAGAATTTAATGGCTGCGAATTGTTTGCTTAGCCAACTCGAGGATGGGGCTCTTGAAATGATGCGAGTGTGTGCGAGACGATAGCGAAAAACTCAAAAGATATTTCAATTTGAGCAATACTGGGGAATGCAAACAAACCTACAGAGGCCACAGGTTCAAAGGAACTCGCATACATACACACACACACACACACACATGTACGCATGTCTGGCTTGAAAGGGCATTCACTGGGTCGCCTGAGATATGTACATCATGTATGGGGTATTCTTATTTGTACTGAAAGGTCACTCACCATCCGCGGATACCACTGAGCATGTAATTCATATGGTATTCGATTGGGCATCATTGTTAGAGATTCCGATAATTTGATGCAGCAAGTGTGGGAGGGGCGCAAAAGATCGTACATTATAAGATACATTGAGGTAGATATATATATATATATATAGATTTGTATTTATAGAGAAGCTCAAGAATACACAAAACACAACCAAAGAAACGCTCAACTCCATAGTCTATTGGCCTGTTTTCAGTTGAGCGAAGATGCACTGCATAAATGAAAAGCAACGCAAAGTGAATTCGAATTAAAAAGCATGGATGTGGCCCATGTTCGACATTGATATAAGCATTAACATACAATAAGTTTCACATAAATAATTCATAATCATAATAGAAACTCAGAGCTACACAAATTGATCGGCTCGTTATGGAGCAGAACTCAAAACACAATTTGCACTAATTAGAAACGTTTTCATTGACCAAAGCAAGGCAAACCAAACCAAAATCGGATTATTTAATTGTGTGTGTCTATCTGTCTATTTCTGTGAGTGTATGTGTGAGTGTGTGTGGCTATGTGTGTGCAAGAGATACATTAATTCGATTTAGTATGATTTTTTTTGTTCTCTCTCTCTCTCTCTCTCTCTCTCTCTCTTTATGCAGTGTTTGTCTGTGTGTGTGTTTGTGTGAATTCAGTATATGATATTTTATTTAATTACCGTTTCATATTCGGGCGCGGTTGTAAACTGCATTTAATGACAATTAATAATAAATGGTTTTAGTAGTGTTTATTAACTGAATTGCATCATTTTTCGCTTGGTATTAATTATACAAGTTTTAAAGCCATCGAGTGACGAGCTGATATTAATGTAATTCGATTCGAGAGTCACGGCATATTACGCACTTGAGGCACTTGTGCAGCGGCAATTATATGCAAACGATGATGATGATGATGGATGAAATGAAACTATTTGAAATATGCATTTGTCTGGCTTTCAATGCACAGTTGCAGCTGCACAAGTGCCTCGGCAGAGTTAAAGAACAATTGTCTATGTTTGTGTGTAAGTTAATATGTAATTATATACATGTATGTACATATATATATTAAGCACTCACCGTCGGTGTGTTGAGCAATGGAGGTGGACTGTTCAGCAGGTTTTTCGATTGCAGATCAAATCGCAGAGAGGGCGCAACTGTGGTGGGCGGAGCTGGCGTGGCAATGGGCACCAAGGTGCCAAGCTGTCAATAGATAAGTAGATAATAAGACGTATTTAGTACAGTTGTCAGTGGTAATTAAAAGCAATTGCAGTTGACCCAACTCAGGCATCAATAATTCAGAGCGAATCCCACAGTCCCCGAAGCTGGCACTCTTTCCTGTTTTTCAAA